CATCCATGAGCACATGTAAGTCATACATAAAACCCTAATTTCCTTAAACCCTTGATAATAATCCTTTTTCTCCTAAAAGTTTTCGATATGTGGTATTTAATTCATAATTTTAATGAATGTTCAATGAAGTAGAGGAGGTTTTTTTTTTACAATAATTCAAATTAGCGTATATTTATGAAAGCATATTATAGGTTAATCTGAATTAATGTAACAAAATATCAAATAATTTTAAATTTTTATAAAAACTTGTGAATTTAATTTATTCATTAAGAATTTTTAATTTAATGATTGGATTATTAAAATTCATTATATATCATAAATTATTGAGTAAAGTAACTTTATTGGAGTAGGTCTGTGTAAAAAGTTCATATTAAATATAATAACCAATTAAATTTAAGAATAAACTTTAATAAAAAATATTCTTAGTATACTTATTATAATTTTACAAGTATTTCTATAAAATATATTATTTTAATTTGTTAAGATGATAACCATCATGCTTTATTTTTTCATTCTTTAAGAATAGTCAAGTCATTTATTAACAAAACTATATTTTGTGTACAATGATGATAAATATATTAGAACTTAAGACTTTGTATATATTATTGCAATCTCTTACCATTAAGTTGACCTTAATAGTTCTCTATTAACTAACCGTTTAAGAATATCAAAAGTAAAAAAAGATTAGAAAATTTCCATGATATTAAAGTTAAATGAAAATTATTAATTACTACATGAACATATTTGTAATTTTAAAGTTTATACAAAATGTTTGACTTAAATAAAATTCTGGTTCTTCAAATATTCAATTAGAAAAATTTTGTTCTTAAAATATCACAGTTATGAAATTTTATTTCATCCATTATTTTTTTTTAAAAATATAATAATATTTTTTTGGTAATGTGAAGTTAATGGTATTTCATCCATTATTTTTTTTAAAAAATATAATAATATTTTTTTGGTAATGTGAAGTTAATGGGTGACATGATAGATAATATTCACACAATATGTTTGTGATATGGTGTGATGGTGATATATAAAAATATATTATCATAATGTTTAAGAATAAGATTTGATATAACCCCCACTTAATTCCAACGATAATTTTTATCTATTAAAATAACGAGTTTCTTTAATTTATGAATGAAAGTCATAATAAATACCTTCAACAAAAATCAAATTATGAACATATTGATTGCTACAAGTTAAATAAATAAAAATATTATTAATATTAAAAACATCATCGATAAATTAATATAAATAATATCATTAATATTTTAAAAGATAAATTAATAATTTGTGAATTACAAATATAAATATGCTACAATAAAGTTAATTAAAAATATATGATATTGAACATCTAATTTGCATATTTTTGTTAATAAAATTCGTATATATAAAATATTTCTAATTAACACTTTTCTAACATAATTATATTATATGTAATATATTTGTAAAATTATATTAATGAATACTAATTTATGCTTAATAATTATTAGTTTTTTTTATCTATACCTCAAGTATCCTTGAAAGTGCATATAAGACACATAATTCAATGTATTAAATTGGGTGATTTAACATTTAATAGTGTAAATAATTGATTAATTAACTTTGATTTGTAATAGTAGATTTAGTTAGTAATGATTATAAGTAAGTGTAACTCATGTATACTAAAAAAATCCTTCATTTTTAAAATTGGAAATTACTTCTCTTAAAAGTTTCTTTAAATTTTCTCTCTAACTTTTCATATTCTCTCTCTCTCTCACACACACACACACACAAATTTTGTTAATTCTAAAGATGAATTGCTAGAGCATTTTGATTGAAATGTGTGGCTGATTCATTCATCAGTTTGAAGTTTCAAGACTAATAGTAAAATTTAAGTTTTTGATTGATTTCTACCATATCAATTTCTCTTATTCTCCTTCTCAGTTTAATTCTAAATTTGATTCCATTTTTCATTATCATGAATTTAATTTTAGATTTAGAATTGAATAGATATTGGATTTAGATTTAAATAAAAAATTAACTCATAATCCTAAATCAACCGTTTACCGATCTGAATTTTACAGTAAATGTTTCATTGCAATTGCATCTTATGTTTCTATGAAATTCAATAAATCTAGATTTAGATTTAGTTTCAATTTGCATTTCTATTGATTTAGAATTAAGAGAATTTAAATTATACTTTGAAATTGTGAAAATTTTATCGTAAGGATTGAAATCTTGAACTGATGCATTTTTCAATTGGATTTTTTGATTAAATTTTTTGTCTACTTTATGTTTATAATTTAATTATCTTTAAACTATTTGTCAAAAAATCCCCTAGTTAACTTGCATGTCAAGATTCGTGTTCCATGGTTTGTGATTTTGGATTCTAACCTAGGTTCCCAATATTATAAGATTTCTAGGGGAAATTAGTTTAATTTGATAGTGAGATGATTCTAGCTATTAAATTTGGCACCATTGCTGGTTTCACAAGTTATAGTTCATTAATTTTATCATGCTCACTAACTGTTTGTTACATTGTTTTTGTATATACTAACCATTTCTGACCATCTTTGTTAAGTTTTGTGTAGGTTTCACAACCGGTTTACTTCATCTTGTGAATTCTGTTGTGTAAATTTGTTTGTTAAATTCTTTTTGTTCTGTTTTGGTTTTGTCGTTTTATTTTTTAAGTTTTTGTTTAGTTATTTATTGTGTCTATTTACTTTCTGTTTTTGTTACATTGCTATTGTTGTATTGTTGTTACTATATTGGTTAGGGATTAAGGTTTAGGTTGTTGTTTTTGTTTACTTGTTGTTTCTACTTATTGTTGTTGCTGTATTGCTATTACTGTATTGTTGTTGTATTATTGTTTTATTATTGTTACTCTATTTCTGTTGCATATTACAATATGTTATTTTGTTTTGTTGTTTTTGTATTTTTATTGTTGGCTATTTTTGCTGTATTATATTTGCTGGTTTTGTTGTTTTTGTATTTTCCCTGTTGGCTATTTTTGTTGTATTATATTTGTTGATTTTGTTGTTTTTGCTATTTTTTTGTTAATACTTGTTGTATTTTTACATTGCATTACATATTTGTATTACATATTGATATTGCATATATGTAGTACATATGTTATGTTCAATTTGTTGGATGTTACAAATGAGCTGAATTTTTTTTTGCTAAGTAAGGATTTCTACTAGTACCTTTTTATTATATTTTTAAATTTTTTCTATTTACTTGTTGTTTTTGTTGTATTGTTGTTGCTATATTGTTGTTTCTATATTGTTGTTACTATATTGTTGTTACTATATTGTTGTTTAGGGATTAAGGTTTAGGTTGCTGTTTCTGTTTCTGTTTACTTGTTATTTCTACTATATTGTTGTTGTTGTATTTCTGTTACTATATTGTTGTTGTTGTTCTATTATTGTTGTATTACTGTTACTATATTACTGTTGTAGATTACTATATGTTGTTTTGTTTTGTTGTTTTTGTATTTTTACCATTGGCTTTTTTGCTGTATTATATTTGCTGATTTTATTGTTTTTGTATTTTCATTGTTGGATATTAAAGACTCCAGCAAAGAAACCTAAGTATAGAGGAGTATAGGCAACAAATAGAGTTGCTCATGATGAGAGTTGAAATTAGAGAAGAGGAAAGGACCACCATAGCAAGGTTCCTAAGTGATCTTAACTTAGAGATTAGGGACAAGGTTGAACTATTGCTTTATAGAGACCTTAATGAACTAGTTCAACTTTGTGTGAGGGTAGAACAATAACTTAAGAGGAAGCCTGGCTTTAGGAAGGAATCTACCTTATACCCTAAGAAGGACTTCAAGAGGGAGGGTCACTCCTTTTATTCGAAAGTAGAAAGGCCATTAGAAAAACACAAAGAAAAATAAAAAAAAATCATCCAATGAAAATAGAACTAGTTCCATTAAGTGCTTTAAGTCCTCAAGGAGGGGACACATAGCTTCCTAATGCCCCACAAAGAAAAATTAGGGGTAATGAAATCCTAAGTGAAGAAATCACTTCTTCTTATTCATCATCCTCAAGTGAAGAAGATGCAAGCCTTAGTTCTAGTAAGGAAGCACCATGTGGTGGTGACCTTCTAGTTGCTCAAAGGTTACTTACCAACCAACCAAGTGAACAAGACCAATCACAAAGAGATAACCTTTTCCATTCTAGATGTAAAATTTTTAAGAAAACTGGTTTTCTCATTGTTGATAATGGATCTTGCAATAATTTTGTAAGCCAAAGGTTGGTTGATAAGCTTAACATAACTTTTATAGCCCATCCTAAATCTTATAAAAGTTAAAGACCAAGTGAATGTTCCTTTCAGATATTACAATAGGCGTTACAAAAAACATAATATAATATCATCTATAATTTTAACATTCGTATTAAAAAACTTATTATACCAAAAAATAAACATTAATGTAGTTCATGTTCATGATAGTTGGTGGCTCATGATTCGGAATTATTGAAGTATCTTAAAGTATCTATGATAAAAGTTACTTATAAGCAATCCCTGTACTACATCATATCACATTAGCTCTTTTACATTTTATGAGTTACTTAAATTTTAACACCGGATCTTCTACAAGCAACTATACTAAAATTTAAATAACTCATAAAATAAAAAAAAACTGATATGACATGATGTGGTAGAGAGGTTGCTTATATGCAATGCTATGCTCTTGTGTTACCGTTGCTTTTGTTTTGACTACGTAACACAATTTAATTTACACGTGGCGTAGTTATGGGAATTAGATTTCAAAGACGGGTTCCTCAAATTGCAATTGGGTACAGCTACAAGGTACAACATTAGAGTTGCCATAGACATTTTGAGTAACAAGTTTCAGTTCGTTTCTGACACAACGCAATGTGACGAATCTTCCAATATCACCCAAAAGGTGTTCAGGAAAATCAGATTGATCAGTTCCACCAATGGTGTTTTATATTCTCTTTTATTTAATTAAAAAAATACTATATATATTTTTTCCACAGAGAGAGTAAGGGTAAATTTCGCAAGGATCTAATGAAAAACACAAAATTGAAGCAAAATTCAACACTAAAATAGTAAAATTCATATCCCAACTTTCACTAACACAGCAAAGATAACCCTTAATTCATAACATTAAAACCAAACTAAAATAAAAAAAGATCACCAATCCTTGGAGTAACCCTTCTTTCCCTTGGGCTTATCTTCTTCCTCACCCTCGAAATCAACGGTGTCACTTTCATCGGAATCGTCGAACCCAGAGCCGTCCATGTCCATATCCATGTCATCATCGTCAAAATCAAACTCCTCCTCCACGTCTTCGTTGTCGTCTTCCTCGTTTCTTCTAGAAGCGCCACGTGGCGACCTCGCAGTGGCCATTTGGCGAGCAAGCGTGGAGGGTGTGAAGCGGGGGAGCGAGGGGGATTCGGGTCGGGCGAACGGGGCAACGGGTCGGGTCAGGAGCGGAGCGGGTTTGCGGAGGAAACGCAGCGGAAGGTTCAGGTTTTGCTTCAGCTTCAGCAGCGTTGTTCTCGTTGCCATAGTCGCAGCGAGTGGCGCTTTTTTTTTCTCAGTGAACTCTGTTTTTTTGTTAACGAAAGGTGGCTACATGGTTGTATATAGAGGGGAAGAAAAAAGGGTTTAGGGTTTTAGGAATGTCGTGGCGCTGTGGGTGAACGACACGTGTCTCGTGCCATTGTGAAAGAGAAGGTTCTGGAACCGGCCTCGCCTGTGGAACCTAGGTATGAACTATTTGGACCAAAGTAAAACCCGAAATAGCATTCGCATTTGGCCCAAAAAAGTGGAAATAAAAAAAGGGTGATTTTTTATTTTTTAAATTTATATATTAAAGACTTAAATTCACTCAATTTTTATAAATTATTTTCATTATTACAAGATATTTTTATCACAATTAAAAGTTAATTGCAGGATTATTATTATTATTTTCAATAATGTGTCACCTGTATAATAAGTGCATTGCATGAATCAAATGTCTATGTCTCCAACGGGCAGGGTTAATTCAAACTAGACATGGCGGTTTATTGAAGTTTTATATTTTTTATATAATATTTTAATATATGTAAATTTTGTAATATAATAATTATTATTTTGAAATATAAATATATGAAATAAGTATATAACAATTGTTATATATTATTTTTTATTGATTATATTATAAATTTGTGTTCACACTTCTACATTAAAAAAATTATTAAAAATAAGTATTGACATTATGTATAAAAATAAATATTACTTAAAATTAGTTTTGTAAGAGTGAAATTGAGGAGAATGTAAATAAAGATAAAAATTTATTATTGAAACTAAAAAATTGATTACAAAATAAGAAACCACCAATGAAACAAAAATGATATTAAAATAAATACATGTTACTATTCAGATGAATATTTGTTAAAAAAAAATTAGTGTTAGGTTGTTGAATTATTTTTTCTTTGATTTATTTTTCTTTAAACTTTGAATTATAATTGACTCTTCATTTGATAAATTGTCAATAATTTGTATATATGTCTTTTTTCTTGAATGAGTCTTTTTATTTGATAATGATTCTTTTTTAACTTCTTGGATAGTTGTTTGTTTGTACTTACAATAAATTTTTCATTCAAGGACGAAATTGGCTGTGGCGATTTAGGCTCTTTATTTAAATTTTAAAAAAATAATTAATGAATAATAATATTGATATTTTTTAAGATAATTAAAAAAATGTAACTAAAGTATGAATACTTATTTGCTTTATTTCTTTGTTAAGAGGCAGATCTTGAAGAATTATCTTCGGGATAAAAGTCTTTGTGATTGCGTAATTTTGAAATCCCTCCTTCAAGTTGTAAGACTTAAGCTTGATTTCAAAAATGAAATTACGATTGCAAAAGTTATTTTTATTTTGGGTGTTTAGGAGTTCAAAAGTTAGTGTGTTTAAAATTTGTTGAGCATCTCGATCAAACATTGTGAATGTTGCTTCACCGGTGTCATCAAATTCTTTCAATTGTATCTTGAACCTGAACATATAAAAAAAGTACTTATATAAATATAAATATATAGTTAATTGTGATACATGATAAAAAAAAAAAATACAGACCATTTTGACTCATTATATTTTCTTTTTTGGACCAGTATAACCGCATATAATTATAGTTAAGAGATATAATTTGATTAATATATCAGTTATAAAAAATAATATATAATATTTAATTATTATTTATTAAAATTAATGACATAATAGGTAAAAGTACCGATGTTACATGTCTTTCTTTATTAACACGTGAGTATATTTATTTATTAAACCGTACTAACATTATTTCATAATTTCATAAAAAAATTGTTCACAAGCATTGCAAAAATGCAATGTTAAAGCCATATATGTTAAATTACAAGCTATGGAAGTCATTCAACGAAAAATCTAAGGAATTTACAAGCATTGTAAGAATGCAATGTTGGAGTTGAAAAATTAATTTAAATATGTATGCTTAACAGACTTTTCAATAAGATAGAAAAGAAAGAATGACAATATTTTTATAATTATATTAGAGAGAAGTTTTGACACATCTTTCTAATTTTTTTTATATTTTAATAAAGAAAGGAAAGTAACGTACTTAATTAAGTCTCGGGAAACATTAATATTTATAATTATTATGTAGTTATATCATCAAAATAAGAGAAAAAATTCAAGATCACACGTAAACAATTTTGTTAATATAACAATATTTTAGAAATATTTTAATTAAGCTAACGTGTCAACGTAATACAAAGTAGCTTAATTTTTATATTATAAATAAGAGGTAATTCAGGATGATACGAAAATAATTTTGTTAACATGAAAGTATTTTAGAAATATTTTAAACTAACGTGTTAATATAATATAAAGTAGCTTGACATTTATACTATAAATAAATAAATAGATGTTTACGTTGAATATGATTCTTACATAAATAATAAATAAATAAATAAAAATGTAGTCTTTCGTTGTTTATCCTGATTGTAATTCCTAAAGAATAACTCGTTTAATGTAATTACTCAATTATTATGTGACTCTGTCATTTATTTAATTTGTCACGTTAATTTCTTTTTTCTTATATAAAAGTATTTTTAATTTTTTTTTTCATCCATAAAAATAAAAATTACGATTACAATTAGAGGTTTTAAACCTTTTGCTCATTTTTTTTTCTCACACGACCTTTCGTGCAAGTTGTCCTAAACAGGGGAGGAAGAGATACGTACTTGTGAGTTGTGAGACAAAACTGTACTACATAATATGACTCATAGTCATAACAAAAGGAGCATTTATTAATTTTGGTTGCGCTAAATTAAGGTTAATGGTTAAGAAATTCATACTACCTCCACTCTTATATATAAAAAATTTATTTTGGATTAGATCTTATTTTTGTCTCTTATTATAAAAAATATAAATTTACTTTAAAATTTATTAATTAATTAATTGATAATTATTTTTTATATCCTTAATTTGTTACTGAGTATAAGTTTATTAACAAGTCTTACCCTATATTGTTTATTGAACAGCTAACACGAAAAATCATGTTCATTTGTTAAAATAATTGATTATGAACTTTTGAGTAATATCAATATATATAACTAAAACCTATATTGTTTAATTCTTAGGATATTTTAGAATATAATTTTTAAATTATCATATTAATAATTACAACTAAGTAATTTAACTACTTTTAACCGATCTTTATAAATTAGATATTTGTTTCTTATATATAAAACCGAGATACACATGTTTTTATAAAAATCACTGGAATGTATGCACAAATCATATTAAATGTCAAACTTAATTCAGGTTTTTTTACATTTGATTTCTTATCTATTATTCGTGGTAAAATGGTTAACAAAATTTATTTAGATATCAAGATTCCAAAAAGTAACAACAAAAAACAAATATTTGATGCTGCAGTGTAGTTGAAAACATAAATAATCCTACAGAGAGCTTCAGCATAGTGAGCTTTTGAATCCGGGATTCAACATCTATACCCGAGTCTACACATAATTCATAGTACTAACATGGCAATTTAGAGTGAAAATCATTTATATAAACCCGAAATGTTACAAATTTTGTTGCTCATAGAAGTGGAAAAAGACATGCTAAAGGGTGAGTCATTCTGTTTTCTCAGCATCACTATGTGGTCTGCTACATTTCTTTGGAACTGTGCTTCAGTCACCACAGGCAACTTTTCATATTTTTCTATACCTTTGATTCTCCAACAAAGAATGCTGCTACCACCAAACCGTTGTTGCAAATGGACAATTGCAGCAAACATTAAGCTTAGCAATGGAATGATTATATCCCAAGCAGTGGAATAATAGTCTGCAATTTCATCCTCATATAATGATGAACCATCAACATAAACAAGAGCCTCAAAGAGATCATATGCATGGGGAATTAATCTAACCAAACTGATTCCAAAGTAGAATGAAAAAGAAAGAGCATTGCCCTTGGAATTCCACAACAAATTAAGCAAAATTTGCGGCAAGAGAAAGCCATCTAGTACCAAACCTGAATAAGATTTCAAGTCCTCCCAAAATGAGTGTTGTTGTGAAAAGTTAGATGAAGACATCACATCACCATGCACGGTGTTGTTTTGGTGTACAAGAAATGAAACCAAGAATCCTGCTGCATACAAGGGAAAAATCACATACAAAACCTTCTTCTCAGCAATCCAAAGACCCTTTTGTTTTGTGTCAGCCTTTCTTGCTGACCATGTTAGCTGCAAGAGACGAAGTTGCAACAAGAAAGCCACCATCACAATTAGCCTCACAGCAATTTCATTCACTTCAAGCCATTCATTTCCAAGCAGAATGTTTTTCTTATCACGATTTTGTGCAAAAAGGGCTTCAAAGTTCAGAACAAGAGGTACCATATTTCCCAAAGTGAGAATCAATAACATGAAAAAGGAGATCAAGGGAAGCATATCAGGATTTCTTTTCACATGGTAGAGTTGCAAACCAACAAAGACACATGCTAGTGTGGTGCAAACCAGAATCATTATGACCTCCATGTCTACTTTTTTAAAGATTTGTGATGCTTCTTCTGTGTAAAATGCAGCTGAAATCACATCCAACTGTTTGAAGTAAAGAGGATCTGAATTTTTGCGCGTGCTTGCAATTCTTCCTTTGATGTAACCTCCTTTGTTCTTTGCATCAAGTGGTGGAAACTGAAACATGACTATAACCTCACAATCCAGAGAATTTGTTGATGGTATTTGGTTCTTTGTGCCAAGGTTTCTGCAACCTACCATACATAAGTTTCCAGCTTTAGCATCATAAATTCCCTCAGCTGAAACACTCACTGACTCATTTACATTTGTTGTTGTGTTTAGCATAGACTTCTCTTCACCTAACTTGGCATTAGGTAGTAGATTGAAGCTGATTTTGTAGCTAACATTGTACAAGCCAATGGTGCTAGTGTTTGCATAAATTAATTGTTGTGTGTAGCTAGAGTTAGAAGGTAAGGTTTCAGCTAAGTTCCATTGTTGGATCTGATCGCTAACAACTAATGGAACTGAATAACCCCATGCAACTTCAATCTTAGAGTTTCTAACTGACATGTCAAATCTCATGTCAGAAGAATAAACATCTGGATACCTCATTCCCTTGTTCTTCAGAGGTTCTTGTTTTGGGCACATCTTTCTCACTTTGTCAAGTTGGCTATACTCATACTTTATGCCAGAAATTTCAACTCTATGGTATTGAAAATTTCTTAAAATCATCCTCTTGAAAAAACCTGAATCCCCCACAGTTTTGTTGCTCCAAATTTGGCCCTCAATGCTACTTGCATCATTGATTGACCAAATCTTTGGAAACCTCAAGCTCATTCTTGTTGAGCAATCACCCACACGAACACTAGCCATTGATTCTTGCATTCCCAAGAAATGGCAACCAACTATATACAATTGGTTATTTTCCTCATCCCACCACCCTTCTCCAACTAAGGTAGCATTAGGATTGAAAGACCATCTAGCACCACTATTTCCAAACCCAATCAATACTCTCACCCTTTGTGTAACATCTGAACAAACCAATTCTTTCAAAGACACAATATAAGGCAATTGATTTGCATCCCCCCCAATAGGACTACAATTCTTTGCAGAATTGCAATCACTTTGGTATTGCAAATCATATTTACCATTAATCATTGGAAAAATGTTTGCACAAAAACTAACTGGATTAATGGATAAACCTGGCACTACTTCCCCTTCATCAGAATACTCATTTTTTGCTTCTTTAGTATCCAAGCTATACTCATAATCCATTCTAGGAAAAATAAACACAGAAATGGGTTCAAAATAACTCACCTCATGCTTAGGACTCAAGCTCTCCAAGCTTCCACTAACCAAGGTAGAAATAGTATTCCTCGAATAGACAACATTGTAAAGCTTGAAAACAACCTCCAAACGTGGCATGCTGTAGCCAGTTCCCGTTCCAACCATGCAAAGCTTCCCTGAAGATTCTGACCAGAACCCATCAAGCCTAAACGTGATTGAACTTGGAAAACGCTTACGGTTCTTCAATCTTTTGCCACGTGTGGAGTTTCCCACACGGTAATAGGAACTGGCACTTCTTACCATAAAGGTAGCTCCAACTTTGTGTATGCCAATGCCATCAGTTTCATACACACTCTTGATTTGAAGGGTAACTTGTTTCTGCCTCAGTTTCTGGACGGTGTCAGCACCAACAATTGTGTCACCACCAACGTAGTAACCAACTTGGAATGGACCATGAGGGAAGTCTTTGAACTTGGACTCATTGGGGGTTGAGTTTGGAACCATAGAAGCACAGTGATCTGTGTAACTGAGTTGAGAAGCATAAGATGAGAAAGTGTTGAGGGTGGTGAAAAGAAACAGTGGAATTAGAAGAAACGACAATGCTAGAGAATCCATGATCAGAGTAATCAAATTTCTCTGTAGAAGAAAGGAGTTGAAGGGGAACTATATAGAGTATAGACTCATGAAACTCTTTTATAGAACTTAGAATGAGAGCATGTATGAAACATCGATGGTAGATAATTTTTTTGCATTCAACTATATAATATATCAATTATATAAGGTGTTATTTCTTTCAAATTTAACTGGAAACAAATTTATTTCAATGTGCAAAAACTTTTCGTATAGCTACCAATTACCGTAAACGAGATTAGTCACAACAAATTAGTTCAACTTAATCTTTAAGCATGATTAATTATTTATTTGTTTAAAATCTTTCTTTATAAATAAACTAAACACATGTTAGAAATAAGTTATTGGTCTTAATGGTATGGACTTCATCTCTTAAACAAGATTTCATGTTTGAGTTTTATATATAAAAAAGTGATTATATAAATTACATAACAAGATTTTTATTCTACAAACATAAATTAATCTTTAATTATCAACTTTAATAAATTATATAAATTATATTAAAAAAAATCATAAATATCTCGTATCAATATCATCCTTTTAAAAAAGGCTTAACACATATTTGCATAAATAATCAAAGTTAAAAGATAACTCAATTTCAGTATTGTGATGTAAAATCACATTGCATGTTGGTGACGACGAGAATTGATTTTCCATATCTATTTAATTTGTAAAATCACATATTTTTTTTTTTAATTTATTGAGACGTTTTTTCAAAGATAAGATTATGATGATTCAATTTAATATCTCGATGTAATGCTCGTTGGAACGATATTACTGTCTCTGTGATGGGTCTATATTGTTTACAATTTTCCGACATTTTTTTTCTTGTTATAATAGCTAAATTCATCTGTTTTTTTTCTTGCAAATGCAAGCATTGAAGCATTATAATACCTAGCTTACTTGAATGACAGGTAGAGAATGTGCATGTCTTACTCTATTGTATCCATTCTAGTTTCAGATACTAGTGATTAATGTATTTACTAATAAAATCAAAAACTAAGAAGATAAAGTATTATGAAAAAAGAAATAACATTTTATACCCAACATAATGTTTTCAAGAATTGTCACAAACCAGTTGTGTCTGTTTCAAAAACGTATACTTCTCTTTATTGTCCTGTCACGCTATTTACGTCTTGTCTGAAAGTATTGAAAGTGTCTTTTTATTCAATTAATTTGTATAAAAAAATAAATAATTAAATGTAAGCCCCATGTTAATGTGTGAAAGGCTAAAAAAAATTACTTTATAATTTTATTAAGAACATTACTTATTTTAAATTTAATAATTGATACAGTGTTTGTACAAACATAAGACTAAAAATAACTAAAACTTTTATAACAAAGTATACTTCATTCATAAAAGAAAATGAATTTTATGGATACAAAAGTTATTTTTAGCTCTTCCATTACTTAGTGACAGATTTTTTTCGCTCTTATTATTAATCTGTAATATTTTTGAAAAAGTCATGAATTTCAAATTAACATTGTAAGATATAAAATTTTTAAATATCTAATTTACATCATAAGATGATAACAAACATATAGTATGTTATCACTCATCTTGATTATATAATTTCTTTCAAGCACATTCATTCGAAATATGAAAAATTTCTTATATAGTTTTTAAGTAGACATTACTAAGGAAATAAAAAGTGTGATTAAGTATTAGATTCTCTTTTACATCCTTCTCTATGTAGATTTGTGCTGAGGATGATAGATAATATATAATCTTATTGAAAATTTTTAAAAAAGTTAATAATTGACTTTGATCTTACATAAAGTTATATCTTGTTCAAATCTAAACTTCTACCAGTTAAAAAAAAAAAAAAAAGATTATATCAAATTGATCTGTGTCTACAGCAACTGAGGAGATTATTATCTTCCTATGGACTAGGAGATACCCAACCCAAAAAATAAAATACTATTGAAATCAAATCATAGCTTGATAAACACTTCGAACCAAGTGAATGTATTTTATATATTTTTTAAAGTAGAAATCAATAATATTACTTTTTTCAAATTCTTCAGCCAGTACATAAAATTGAGTTAAATGTTGTCATCATTTGCCAAAGGTATAAAATGCAACAAGTTTATTGATAATTCTGGTACAGACAGGTAGGCAATATATTTAGAGTTAATCATCTAGGCAATATATTTAGAGTTAATCATCTATATATTATTAATGTAAAATTTTTACACTAACAATCAATTATATTTTTTAAATTATTTTATTTTACTTTTATTTGATTAAATAAGGAAATGACATGACACTATTAAATTTTTTTTTTCTTTTTCCTGAAAATAGCGAACCAACAGGCTAAAACATGCCCAAAAAAAATGTCTATTTTTTTTCTGCATAAAATACTTTTCCTACTAAAGTTGCACATAAATGCATAAACTGCAAATTACTATAAAATCTTCATAGAACATGTCATGGGAAACAGCAAGGTAAAAAAGGATACACCCATTAATTTTCAGTCCCTACTAGATTATGCCATATGAATAGTCACCCTCCAAATTCAATGTTACTGGAGTATGGAGATCATTTTCTTTTACATTTTGCGCCAGAGGATTGATTTTTGTAACCTTTACCATCATAATACAAATTACAAAGAGATTAGCACAATTATCAGAGAAAGGCATCCTGTTAAAGCCTCACTGTCACTGTTTTTCAACAGATAAATCTTGTCCATTTCTTTTCACAATTATTAAGAATTAAATTTGGAAACAATTTTAATGTACAGAATATTCATCAGATGAGGAAAAAGTCCAGAACAAAGGCTTAAATAGGAAGGAAAAAGGAACAGTTTCTTAAGAGCAGGCAAAAAACAAAATTGAAATAGGGTAGTGAACATTAGATGGAAGCAGTTACAACGAATTATATATATATATATATATATATATATATATATATATATATC